ATTGTTTCAAATAGGACTTGCAGATGATCCATTAAATCACCAGTCAATGATGCATGCGCTTGAGTTTTTAGATAATTGTAAATCAAAAAATGTGTAATGCATTTTTTAAAAAATTATAGGATTATTATAAATTTTGGAATACATGCCTAATGCCCAAACAGGAAAAATAAATTTATAAGCTGAATAAGTAACTGTCATATTGTTAATTATTCCTTCTGCATATTCTGTTTTCCATTCCCCAGTTGGCAATTGTCGTGATGCAATAAGCTGCAAAAAGATTTTAATTTATATAATTATATAAATATATTAATGCTAATACTCTATTAAAAAATATGTAGAAAAGCGCTGCACTTTTAGTAAAGTTCTATTTATATACCTGGATACCGCGTCGAATAGGCTCTTCATTTGGATATTTACCTGCCATTAAAGCAAGCAATGCAAAAGCTGTGTTTAAAACTTGTGAGTTTTCATGATGTATATAAGTTTCTGTAACACATGACTATTTATAAAAAAAGCAAAGTTAAAAATCAATAATCTAGAATATGATAAATATAATAAAACATTAATATAATGATATGAACTTTATAGGATTCACCCAACCACCGTCTTCTTTTTGTTTAGAAATTAAAAAGTCACATCCTTTTTTAACTACCTGGCTAATAGGCATAATTATTTAGTAAGATAACTTATTTCTTCCGTAATTCAAGATTAATTTGTGGGTATAATACCTATTTTCATATGTTTCTCCATACTTTTTCAGACATTGTATAACAAACATAGTAGCATACGTGAAGCAAATGCCCCAAGATCCATACCAACCACCATGTTCATATTGAGAATTATGTAGGTATTGAAGTGCTTTTTTGGAAGCTTTTCTAACAAAAGATGAATTATTATATAAATAAATTATATATTTACAAATTTGTTACAAAGAAAAAAATTTACTCTATTTCAGTAGCCCTATAATCCGGATACCGTTTTTGGAAAGTATGTAAAGCATTTAGAACACTAGATGTACATTCTGGGTAATTATGTTCAACCATTACATTTTTAAAAGTTCCTGAAAGGTTTAACTGTTCCATAATATTTGAACCTTTAATACGTTCATAGCTCCCAAATCCGCCATCAGAGTTTTGCATAGCTAATAATATGTCAATGGTCTGACAAAGTCGTTCTTTAGATATTAGCTTTGGTGTGTAACTATTTTATGCAAAAAAATAAAATCAAAAAAAATTTTCAATATTGGCTTTAAATATTAAAAATTTATATAGAAAACATACTTAAGTTTATTTTGAAGATTAAGTACAGCCTCAAGACATATAGCTGAACAATCAGAAACATTATATCCTTGATCACGAGTACTATAACTCCAAGCGCCTATTGTGTCATCCCGATAACATTTTTTAAAATCTTTAGGATTTTTTTTTATTTGCGAATTATCTAAAAACTCAAGCGCATGCATCATTGACTGGTGATTTAATGGATCATCTGCAAGTCCTATTTGAAACAAT